ATACTTTGACTGAACCACATGGCCTCAATCCAAAAATGTATTTTCTTGGCTATAAGCCTATTTTGTTTTATATAAGTCAAATATTACAAATGTGCAATGTACTTATTTTGATACTTCCTGTGGCCTGACAAGTAAGTAATCTTAAACAATTTTTCCAAATTTCTTAACCTTAAAGATCAAAAAAAAATTTGCAACTTCAATTTTCACTAAACTTCCTTATCAATTAGATCACTTACTTTCAGGTGAGCACTGATGATGACGAAAGTCGAAAGCGCTTTGCAAGAATTTTAAAAATTATATACTTTAATACAAAAAACCTCTTCGATTCATTAATTCAATTGAGTGTATTCAGCTTTTCCTATTTAAGGGTCAAATGACAATTTATTTGTAAGATTTCTCAATATTATTTTTGATATTTCAAAGAAAAGCGACGTCAGAAAAAGTTGAACACTACTTTAAATTTATACTCAATTTCATACAGGAAGTGAAACTGATCAGAAAAATTCACTGAGCGTCATTAACTTGCAAATAATTGTATAAACTAGATTCTGCATTTTTATAAAATATAATATCTCCCAAAGTACAAAATATAATAATTCCTGACCTAGATGGCTTCATTGCAAAAAAATCTTCTATAACTAATCTAATGACATTCACACCAACGATAAGTAGTGCTTTAGAAAATCAGCTTAAGGTAGACATGATATATACAGACTTCCTAATCAACAAGTTGGACCACAACAAACCGTTATTTCAACACCTCGACACGTGTTTCGATCACCAAGTGATCATCTTCAAGATAAAGATCAAAGTTTGCCTTCCTCTTGATCACCAGTAATATTTATTGCTACACCAAAGGTACCAAACAGTGCATCATAAGTAAATGAGCATTTACTTGTAGGAAGAGACAGCTATAAAGACTTGGGAGTATTCTTTAATACCAAACTCCCATTCGCACTTCACATAGAAAAAACTGTAAGTACTCGTAACCAACCATGTCAATCTGATCATGAAGTATAAAAACAATTTTTTATAAAAAGATAATAAACGAAATGATGATTTGAGTTCAAACATGGTAGAAATGAGAAAGTATAATAATAAAACTGAGCTGGCAGTCACTATTTCAAAATAATCAAAACTTGAGAGAGTATTTCATTTTTTCCTGATATTGCTTGCCTTTGTGATGTCAAATATGATATAATTTCCATCTGAAGTTTTTATGTGTTGGATTCTTGTGACCGTCAATATCCTGAATTTCATTGACAGTGTTCAGGATTACTACCAGGATTACTAATTGAGCGGATATCAAGAAGTAAACAAATTTCAAGGTCATCGTATGAAACAGGTCCGAATCTGTCTGTTTTTTCATGAGATCTCTCTCTATAGACACTCATATAAAAATATCGAGTTGACTTTGAATACCATTGAGATGACAAAATACGTAGAGTAACAAAGCTCATATTTGTAGAGAATCTTTAAATGGCCAGGTAAAAATGCTCTTGTTTCTTCTTGTTGATGCTTTCAGAAATAATCTGGTTTCCTAATAATCCCTTTCCAAAAACTTACTGAAGCCGTCCCCTTTATTTTGACATTTTTTCGTCAGTTCAAGTTCAATTATTTCATAATCAATAAGAAAATTCCGACAATGAAGTATATTTTTTTATATACCTAGACGCGATTTCTAACTTTGAATTTCAACAAATTGGGACTATTTGAGTTGTCACAAAGTTAGACTTGATAAATATGCTATCAGATAAACTGAGAAACAGACAAGCTTAGACTGATATTTGAACAGACAGGTGGATGAGCAGCTAAAGAGACAGATAAGTGAACGAATAGATAAACTAACCAGGGGAACAGACTGAAGATTTTGAGACAATTAGACAGAAAACCAGAAAACAATACACATAAAGACATCTAGAATATATTCAGTCAGCTCAAACTGCACAGACATAGATGTTCGCTGAGCAGATTGACTATAACAAATACATAGACAGGCAGATAGACATATACAGAAACATAAAGACAAGCAAAACAAATGAAAACAAAAACCAATAGATAGACAAGCGAACAAATATAGAAAAATAGAGATCACTTAGAGAGAGAGAGACAAACCTACAGACACACAAACAAAAATAGACAGAACAGTGGAGAATCATGAAGGGATATAGCATGGCAAAAAGTCAATCTGTGAATCTTCAGGAAGATTTCACTCAGAGAAATATCGAAAGTAGGTATGTTGAGAATTTTGTCAGCTTGGTGAAGGAAATACTCGTTACTTTGTTTGAAGTAGATATATATCCAAGAACATATATGATCAGTTAATATCGAGTGGGAAAAATATCAAAAACACCAAATTGCTACCTGATTCGAAACTTGCTAGAAATACTAATCAACAAACTTGATCCGTGAATGCTCAGATTTTTCCTCGTTGACTGCTTCATTGACTTGTTTATTTCTTCAATGTAATCTTGCAGATCAGGCGTGTGCTGTATCACCAGAGGTTATATGACTGAACCAGTGGAAAATTGTGTTGTACAAAGACAAAATTTTGTTCATCGAAGGAAAAGTGCATCGACGTATGAATGAACTTTGTTATCAGACTTGAAAATATAAATTGGTTCTGAAGTGTAGGTTTTATTTTTGGGATTATTGATACTACTGTTTAAAAAAATCTGTTTTTCCGTTAATCAGCTATCGCCCCCTTACAAACGACAACTTTCAGAAGTTGAGAAACTTGTGCGAGCTAAGGACTAACGAGGTCTTACCTTTTAACGTGTGATTCCTCAATCCTACTGATTGAAAATGGAATTTTTAACAGGTGATGATCAACTGTATTGTCAAACATGCGCCAAACTAACTGACTGTTATAAGGAAACAAGTATAACTGAGGCACCAGTCAATCTAATAATAACACTGATGATATTCAAACAAGACTCAACCTCTAACGGAAGCAAGAAACTCTTTGGAAGGTTCGAAATAGATGAACATTTCAACCTAGCAGACCACTGTTATAATATTCATGCAGTCATTGTTCACTGTGGTTCTGGCGTTGAATGTGGTCATTATTACGCCTTGGTCAAAGAAGAAACGGACTGATTTAAGTTTGACGATAGTCGTGTCACGAAGTGTTCTGGCGATGCATTGAATTTATTGGAGCCTCTGGAGACACCGTACATTTTGTTTTATGAGAGAGAGGACATTGTTAGATCAAGATCTTCAGATGATGTGGTGCTGCAGGTTTTTCCGGGTTTTCCTGCAGCTGAAAAAGCAAATGCGCCACTGGAATCAATGAAGTCGCCCCGGAGCGCCAATTAATTTTTATTGTTGTATTTATTTTATTTTTAATGTAGTAATATTTTTGTATGGAAGACAGAAATATCAACTTGTAGCGTTTGAAATGATATTGATCGAGTTTTTCAAGATGATTGAATAATAGATGCTGAGACACTCATCACTTTTGAAATTTACCAGAAGAAGATGATTGAAACTATTAGTGCTCTTGATATATTCTCACGAGAAACGAAGAGCTTAATAGAACTTTCTTTTACTGGGAAAGCGGATCATACACGTGTTCTCGTTCAAGTGAATTAACGACTTCCGAAGTGGTTGTGTGGAAAGTTACATAAAAGAGTTATAAATGTAAACAATTCAAGGCGGATGTGAAGGAAATTGGAATAGTTTTCCGTTGCGAGTGTAATAGATTTTATTTTAAACCAGTAATGAATCGAATCCGCTGATAAAGCTGCTGGAGCAGCTATAAAATGGATTAAAACTGCAGATTTCAATTCAATGGAAAGTATTCTATTCGAACTTTAGTGGTTTCGAGTCCTTGGAAGCGACTTAATGAGAAAATATAATTTAATTAGTTTTGTTTGAGAAATTGAAAATGTGTAGACAGAAAATTTTCAAGGAATGGAATATAAATATTGAAGTTTATGTTTTCTCGTCGAAACATGAGAATCGGAAATCGAAGTCTTGAAACATCATCGTATTCAGCATGGGAAGACATGTTAGTCCTTTTTATTGATAGGACAGAATTTGAAATTTGTTAAATTGATGATTTATTTCCAAACTAGTTGTTGCCCGCATCTTCGCCCGCGTAGAATTTGGTTCGTCATATTGAGTTTCGTCACAGATTATTTTCAACAAATAGTTACAAAATTTTTATCAATCCAGGTTTCCAACTTCAAAACTGACGAAATTCAAAACAATCTTTGAACCACTATTTCTTCCCCTCGGGGGTAGAAATTCCTGATTCTCTTTCTTGATGCTTATTTACGCTATACAAAGAACCTACCTGCATATTTCAAGATTCTACGTTCAGTAGTTTCGGCTGTAGGTTAATATAAGAGCGGGCAACAGCTAGTGATTTATATTTTTACTGCCCTCACGCGTCTGCCCGCGTTCGGGTCGGCTTCTCGGCGATGACGTTTCATTGCTCAGATCTTCTACCCCCGTACATTGTCTCCCGTCGTATTACAGTAGATGCGAAGCGTAACGGCTCACTACGTTGCGTCCAGTTAATCTTATCATGATAACTTTTAAGCGATTCGAATCTAAGATAAACATTCACACGGTACGTAACGGCATGTAACTTCAAAGGTATAGGCAGCGCAAGAATTTTTCCGCCATACTCAATACTCATCGTTATATCATGAACAGAATTATACAAAACTATTGTAAATTGCAGCGTATATGTTATTTTGATGTATAAGCTGTATTCATGTAAAGTTTCATCTGAATCCGTTCAGTCATTTAGGCGTGGAAGAGCCACAAACATACATACATTTATCCATTCTCACAAACTTTTACATTTATAATATTAGTTATAGATTTCAAAATTCTCAATGACAAAGCAGGTGGGTCAATAAAAATTGATAATAAGACCTGTGAAAGAAGTTTGGACAATTACAAACTACTAAATAGAACTGTATACATACTGAATCACAAATAATCATTTTTACACTCTCCTGGAAAAATAACAGCTATGAAACATAATAAATGAGGTTGTTCCAAAAGTTTTTACCGGTTCAATGTCATGTGCTTTTGTAGCCTCATAACTCAATAAATGTATAATCTACTGTGTCGTAGTGTATACTGATTATCCAGGAATCAACGTTGCTTTGCAAAATTTTGTTCTGAAAAAACTTTTCAAACAACCTAATGAAAAAAAAAAAAAGAATTCAAACCGTTAAAACCTCACACCTACACGTCAATTTTTCTCAATCTTTTTGATGTTCTAATTGCAAACTGTAATCTAAACAAGACTTTCTCTGACTGCAAACATTAACGGTTTTGTTAACTAGTTAGTGATCTAATGATTTTTCTGAAGGTAGATTGGGTAACACGAACAATATTTCCTCAAAACAATTGTTCTCTTGCCGACGTTTCGAATTTAGTTAAATTCTTCTTCAGGGCTCAAAAAGTAGTTTCTTTTACTATTTTAAAAATCATCAGACATAATCCCAACCAGAGAAATTGTTTTATAATTTCATGGTGCTGCAACAGTTTTATTTTGCTGGTGTTTTATAATTACTTCCAAAATGCTAATTGATTTTATTATACGAGCCGTGAATATAATACAGTTGTAGACAATAGAAGTGTTTTATTAATTTGTCATAGAAACGTTTATAAAATTAAATAAAAAAAAACATTATAAAATAGTCATAAAATCATCACAGAAAAAATTTTACAACTAACTTATAAAACATATTTTCCTATAAAAGTGAATTGTTTTGTAGCAGTTTTGTAGCACTTCTCTGTGAAGTTTATAAACCAATTTGAAGATTATTTTATAACTGCTTCCTGTAGCTGTAATAAAATTATTTTATTGCAATGATTTCAAACACAATTTTGTTTTCATCACCATATTGTCACTGTAATGATAATTTCTCAACTATTTCATAGTATGGTATAATAATAGGCTACATATTTGTCAACAAAATTTCATTCGCACTTGAAAAATCAATCTGTGAAGCACAAACAATGTCTTTACCAGTTTTATGAGTACAAAAGTGGTATTATTGAAATGGCCCCAACCTTTCTATTTGTTAGTCGTTAGTTGGTGACATCTATCATATTTTCCTAGTATACAATACAAAATTACTTCTTGCGCCTTCAAGAAAACATTTTGGAGATTTTTTTATTTTATCGTTATAACGATAAAGCTTATGTTAAGTCCTTCTTCTTCGGTCTATCTTGTTATAATATTCAGGGCCTGCTGCAGGCTTCTCTTCACTACATTATTGTATTTACCCTGGACTAAGATGACTAAGTCGTCTGCATAGCCCAGTGCTTTATACCCATTGTAGTACAGGAGACATAATAGCTCGTCCATTACAAGGTTCCATAACAGAGGGGATAGAACCCCTCCCTGAGGATAGCAACTTGCTACCAGTGCCACGACTGTTTCCCCCATAATGGTTGTATATACCAATCTTCCCGTAAGCATGCAGTTTATCCACCTTTTAGCCTGTTTTGTCGATCCCCCTTCTCCTCGACGCCTGGGTGATTGATTCTAACGACGTATTCTTTAAAATAACTCTTTTGTCTCCCTTTTTCACTAAGAGAAAAAAAGGGATGGTATATGAAAATATGTGTTTCATAGGGTATTTTTTGATGATGCATATCTATTTTTAAGGTGATTCGGCTGTATGTTTGTCATGTCTCCATCGCATATACGAAATCTTCACCCGAGGCAAGACCTGTTTACTACTAACTCCAACACTTAAACAAAGCCTCAAGAGGTAAAAAATCCAATGTACCTACGTCAGGTGGAGCGCGTCAAATTTTTGCCCCTCTTTCAGGTGTCCACCCTGTACCACGAAACATTCTGAATTATGTTACCGATGAAAACAGTTATATTTCAAAATAAACACCTTTGCAGAACCTCCACCCACCGTTTTGTCTCAAATATATTTCATGGCGATGACTAATCTTATGAAATCACTCGAATATTTTGAAAATATTCGGAGGCCTTTCGTTATATTACACCCGTCGCCTATTTTGATAGCTTCAGTTGGATCTGGGTTGGCTTTGGCCCAATACATTATCCTCTAAATTCCCTGCAATTGTTTCGAAACGTACACAATTTTAGTGGCTGGTTAAGTTACCTGGTTGGTGATTGTGATCGTAGAAAAGAACGACGTCTGATAATTGACGGTGAGTAGGTTCACGTGTGGTGTTGATTATGCAAGAAATGCCTATGTAGAATGAGTTGGAAAAAGTGTCATTTCAAAACAGTTTCGTTTGAGATCAAAATGACCCGATAAGGTGTACACTGAATTATTTTCAATCGATAATTTTTCATTCTGAATTTTCTGTATGAAATTTACAAATATATAATTGATATTTTTCATTTTATAGTACTCGACTGTTGGTGTAATTCATCTCACGATTCGAAATGAAATATTTCTTGAGAATAATTCAAAAAAAAATTATTGTTTATCGAAGAAACTCTTTGAAGATTGCATCACGAATTAAGTTCAGCCAAAACCTAATGATAACCGTTCACTAAAAGATATCGAGAATGTACCTTTTTCAACCTTCTTTTGTTTGATTAATATTCAGCAGACACAATATTTTCTTGAATAAAGATTTTTGTGTGTGTCATATCAAATTTCAATACAAATTTTGAGGTGGAGGAGAGATTTTTGAAAATGTTCCAAAAAATGTTGGATATCATTTTGATCATCAATTCAATTATTCACCATTATTCAAAGTACCACCAAGTAGAGATGTTCGTATTAAAAATAATTTTTTTATGGAACCACATATACTGCTTTATAGTTACTCAAAAAATTATTACAGAACATTAAAGGTTCTGTAGGTATTCACCAATTGATTCAGAAATTATGTCAAAAATCAAGTTGAATCTCAGTTGAAGAGTCTATTTTGCTGGGAAGAAATTTTATATTGTTTTCTCAATATCGAACAGTAGTTTGACCTAACTTGTTCGTTTTCAATATTTGGTGAATCAAAATATTGGTTTTCTGCTTTTACCGAAGAGAACACTCTATATTTAATTTTGCTTGTGATTTTTCTTTGACGCAAACTCTTTGAGATGGGAATATGGAATTTTGATATTAAATTCCCAGCATATGACAGAGATAATGAAAGATTTAAACTATTATTTCATAACTCACTATCATTCAATTACGAAGGAAACTGGGTCCTATCGCAAATGATGACAGTTGAAGAGCTCGGCATTTTTAGAACAATCGAAATATATTCACACATTCCCCTATTTTTTTTGAAGGTAAATCTCGATGAAATCTAATTATGGAAAGCAATATATGACACTGAATAATTCAACATTTTTTTTTATTCGTTACTTTGCATATTGGTGGATAACAATTGAAAACAGTGTATTGATACATTTTGTATATGCATGATGAAAATGATGGTCCTACCAAAGTATAGTTGACTGTTACATTTTCTGAAAGGCAAGTTATTATATTACGAAAAATAAACATATTCACTCCATAATTTTTTACGTGACGTTTCGAATTCCTTTTTTCATCGATAATTCATAAACACACAAAAACTATTTGTCTATTTCAAGTGAATGTGTCTCCATAAATCATATCGAAAATAGATAATTATTTCAATACAAAATCCAATTGGAATGACGCTTTTCATAACTCATCAATACCTCATAGTATAATATTACTATTAGTCGACATACTCCAAAAAATTATTTTGAAGACTTATTAGTAGGGAACTCACAAATCTTGCAGTAAATATATGGTTTTAATGAAGTTTTTCCAATCATTTCGTGAATACAGTTTTCTTGACAAAAAACATATCTCTCAGTTTATTCAAAGCAGATTTACGATGTTTTTTTACAATCAAATGAAAGCAGTGTTTTCACTCATCTATTTTACAGTACTAGAAAAATATCTCATAGAAATGAAAGTGAATTCTGAATAAAAAACTGAATGAATTTTTTTGTTCGTGAAACACTTGGAAAAAATTGAAATATGGTAGATTTTGAATTAAAAGGGGTATATTTTTAGGGGAGATTAATTTTTAGGAAGTGAAAGTTTTGGCTTTTTACTTCTCTATCTTCATACAAAAAATGTGGAAAACTTGTTCTGTATGGTATATATAACGAATTTCAACAATTTGGTACAAAAATCCTTTTTCTGAGCACAAACACTGTATTTATTGAAAACGCATATTTCTGTTACTTTTTTCCTCAAAATTCTGTTTACAAATGTCTAATTGTCGACTTTGAACTGAAAATTTCGATTCGATTAAGTTCAATCTCAATATTTTTACTTTGAACTGGACTAAAAGAACACTCATTCCATGATACTTCCATCTTTTCGAAACTATTATACATTAAAGAACCGTTTATGAATATAGCGAGTGTTCCGTTTTTCCTACAAAATTGAGAGTCGTACCTGAATTATCATCGATGAACTGTCAGTCAAGTTATCAATGATGCAAACCCATTCCATTCATTGGAAAAAATATAACTGAGAAACCTGTTTTTTGATCGATTTGATATTCTTCGCCTCAGTCAGATCCGTATTTGAAACGAACTAAACATGTTTGCAGAAGATGCTTGAGCTTAAATACGACCCTGTACACGGATACGACTACTCTTATGATGCCAACAGGCCTTACATTCCCGACTACAGAATCCACAGACCTTACGATTTTTATTTCAATTGGCCATGGAGATACCGTGTTTGGTTTCCTAACAGAGCCTACAGGCGATTTCTAGATAGGGAGCACCGCGTGAGTAAGTTCAGTTGTTTTTTCTACGATATCTTGGCTAGAATGAGATTTTTGGGTGTCTCAGGAATACATTCTGCGGCCCTTGTTTTCTATGATTACCGAGATATCGTAGATTTGTTTTCGATTTAGTATTCCTTCTCTTTCTTCAACTAACTAGTCTTTCTTTATTTCAGTTGAGAGAACTAATTTATATGATGTGAAGATTTCAACTGAAGTATACTGAGTCTATTCATGTGATAAAAGTGCTTTAAATGTGCTAACGAATTTAATTATTTTCAACTCAAATATAACTAGTTATTTGGTTTATAAATGAAAATATATGTTAATATTATTAATTTCAATAAAATATGGAAACAATAATATTTTTCATTATTCTGCTCCATTATTTCACAAACCAGTATCTCCACATTGCATTCTTGGCCACATTGAATTTTTTTTGTTACAAATTCTGAGGTTGGATGTAAGTGAAGTCGTTAATTTCTGTTTGTCTCTAAAATATAGTACTTCTGTTTTTCACATTCAAATTTAGTCATGTTCTCGTTTAAAGAAATTGATGTTCCTACAAAAAATATACACATTTACTTATTTCTAGTTTTTATTCCATTTTATTCATAAAATTTTTATAATGATAGTGAACTTTTGTATAATACTTCACACTGTATAACACGAAATAACAGACGTATAAATTTACAGTCTAACAGTTTCATTGAAATGAATCGTAGAAATAGTTGGTATATGGGCCAAACAAATAACTATGTGGGAACGCGAATGCTGAAAACTGTGATGTATACGAACAAAAAGCCTTGTTCGAAAAATATTCTGAAATTTTCGCTCCGAAATTTTCTCTGAATTATTTCCGATGAATACAACTACAATCCATTATTTTAGTGGAAAGTCATTAAAGACCTAATGAGAATCACATCAAATCTTGGATTCATTTAAGAATGCTTATAATCTGAAATATCGCAACTTGAGTTTCTTGGCAGCACACCAAAAAATCTCCTATATCTAGTCACCGCGTGTTCAGAATATACACAAAACTGTGGTATTTTTATCTGATAGTTATCTACATTCAACTCGGTCTTTCTACACAGATGTAAGTATGAAATACATACTTTGAATATTTTAACGTAATTGACGAAAATTTGCATTTTTGTCAGATAGTGGATTCGATTGAAATATATGAATGAGTCTGACAATGAAGAATAATTCATCAATAGTCATGACTATATACGTCTACAACAACATTGAATAATGATGGAATTCATCATTTCAGTTTTAATATTTTTATTACATTCAGTGATTTTTTGAAGTCACCAGTAACTTCTTCCGAAAATTCTTGAACATCTTTCTATGTCTATAATTTGCAACTGACAGATTTCAATTCATATATTTGTATATATCCTTTTGATTTCGATATAACTATCGCTATTTTAGATGTTGAAATTACAATATGACCTGCAAACCCCCTACATACCCCAACGAAATGTTATTGATTACGAACATGTTCCCTACACCAAATACTCTACAACGGATATTCCTAATTACAACACGTACAGACCCTTAGATCGCTATGACAAGTGGCCATCTTGGTACAAGGCCTACCTGCCTTACCCAGAATTCAGGCATTACCTGAATAATTTGCTGATGAGGGATTTTGGGGTGAGTTTTTAAAAATTGTAGATCATCATTGGTTGTCTTCAGAATGTTCTGAAATTGCAAAAGGTCACGTATTTACATAGAAAGTATATTCAAAAAGTATTTTGAAATTTATAATACCCAAATATTTTGGAACTCATGTAAAGGTTTATATGATTTGAAATTTGACTAACAATTGATTATAAATTGTTATTGATTTTGTAAAGATATCTTTCAGCTCCCGTAGAGGTAGGGTGAGCAAACTGAGAGCAAAAAAGTCTTTACAAAAGAGTATGCATTACATATAGATTTCCTTCAAATACAAATAGGGATCTTGTTGAGATTTAATTTTTTTGTCAGCCCCTACTGTTCACTTTTTTGTATTTATTAATATAATCTGAAGAAACCATTGCTGACCAATACCAGAGTGAAATCAAAGTAATTTTCCTAAATTTGGATTTTTTTGTAGATAAGACGTCATAAATATGTTCACACATACTGGTAAGGCAAATCCAAGGAAATATTCGTCAAGATCAGATAAAAAAAGATGAATGGTTGAATTATATACTTACTATATTATTTTCACAACCTTTTAATTGAATCATATTTAATCACGCTGTATCATATCGTTCCTGATGTATAGTATACGGAAATATATCTCTGAATGAATTACAAATAGAAAATTTTTGAAATGTTAATGTTAACTCAAATATATATTCACCTGTACTACGATGAAATATTTATTAACCCAACAACATCACATGATATTACTTGGGTACACACAAAAGACTACCCACCCTAACCTGTATAGATATTCTCGACTTGAACAATCATCATATGTCATGTTTCTTTGAACCGACAGACTGACTTGAAGTTCATGAGTTGATGCGGAAGACTCAACTATACCGTGTTCTACGAAACATATCGTCATGAGTGACAACAAACGAATGAACACTGTGCTAAAAAAAGCTATTTTTCAATTCTACTGACCATAATATGCACGTTTTTATGTCTGACGTTTCGTCTACATTCGCGGTGGACATTAAGAAAGGTGATGAGGCAATGAATGTAGTACTCTAGTTGTTCTCAATGCGCATATCGCACAAAAGAATAGTTTGCATATCTTGGTGGTGGGTATGGAAATGAATAATTTTCAAACAGTCATTGATATTGAAATGCACCACATGTGAAAGGGTGGATTGTGATTTGAGTGGAAAGCCACTTAGAATATTCAAGAAAGTGCTGATAGAACCGATCGTTTTCGACAGAAACTTGGGAATGAACTGGAAAGTGAACGTGATTTTCTCGTGAAGTTTCTTATCAATGCTTTTTCCCTTATCACGTTATGTATTAATTTCTTACTCAAGCTACCTACTTTCAATTCCATTATGAATAATAGGTACCTGGGTTGGAAAAAATTCACTTCTGTGTGGAAGCATTTTATTTGATTCATATAAGATAGAAATATCATCCATGTATGTAATGTAATCCACACATTCCTCCAAAAAATTCGGAGTAATTTCAAGTTCAATGTAATTTTTATAAATTTTTCAAAAATTACAGTCCTCTGCATACGAAATGAATGTATGTTTTTCGGAATATAGTTATCGAAATGATATATCTACCGTAGCATTTTGAAAAGTGAAAATTCAATTTACATTACTACTTTTTTCCTATTCAATTCGAAAATAGTTATTCGGGAATCATGAGTGAAAATTTTCTATTTATTTTCAAACTAGAAGAAATTAGGACCCATCTCTAGTTTTCCTCTCGGAGACTTTGATTGTATAAAGTACGATCACATTTCAATTGGAATCTGAAATTTGAAGAGAACACTTTTATTATCGAAAAGTTCCAGTTTGAAAACTCTTATCAGACAATGGAATTCATTGAACCTTCGATAATCGGTATTTTTAAGAGAATAGTTGGATTATACTCAGTAGAAGTTCACTCTCCATCACTGAAAATCGAATTTGGCCAGATGCGGGTATGAAATATTGTTAGCCAGGTATCTGGCACTCGCCCAATAGATTTTTCACTACATTAACGTTATTTCTAGAAAACATTTATTACTTGATATCACAGCCATGGCAACTCATTGTGCTCATTTTCTTTTTAGAACTGTAGAGTGAAGTAAGTTGTCCTCTCTTCATATGAAATATTGGAATTCTCGATATGATATCGTTGTTTTCAATTAACGCTATACTTTATTATGATAGACATAGAAGGTTAACACTTTATAACTTTTTTTTGTTATAAATATTTCATTTACTTTCATAATTTTAGTAGTGATCAGTTGATTATTGGCTCTGAGACTAATTTTCATGCAAAAATCATGAAAAAATTTGATTGCAATATTGAAATATGTTGTGAATCNAGGCAAAACGACTACAAACATACATATTATTGAAAGACACATAATTCCATCAAATGGTTACAAATATGTAAAAAATGTATTTAAGAGGAATGGAAGTAAACATTTTTGAAATGATTTCATTACCCGATTTTTATTTATAAGCAGAACATTTTGAAAGTACTCGATTGTTTTTGAAAAGTTCTTTTTGGGGACAAAATACAAGCACTATAAGAACATTCTTGAGGCGCTCTAAGAGCTGTGCCTGTGCGAAAGTAGCGATTCACTTTGGATTTGAATCGCTATTCAGAATCACTTTGCTCAAAGTATTATTGAGATTCTAGTTGAGAATATAGTCAGGTGATGGTGTGTTCTTGTTATTTTTTTTTCACACTGATCCTTCCTGAGTTGAGTTATTGTGGATACTCATAAATGTCGTTCCAAAAAGAAATTCATCTTTTTGCTGACGGCTGGCAATTGATAGCGAAGTGAGGATTCTGGAACAAATGGAAAAATCGAAGAACATTTATACTTACACAGCACATTGTGAATTCTTGACTTTTATTTTTTGATATACTGATACTTATTGATTTTCACTCCTCAAAAAAACTTCGAAAATGATGAGGTGAACACCTCATATTTGATTCACTTTGAGAAATTTCTGTGGCTTCAAGGAAATTGAAAACAGAACTGGCGATATCCTGTTCTAGATTTGTAAACCTCCAAGCTTCTGGGAATTCACAAATGAACTCCAAATTTACATTTTATAATTATCTTTTCGGTCAAGTTTGTTTAATAATATTACATATTCATCCAAGGTTGTTCTGTCTTCAGGGGCTTGTTATTCCCTACTACGCTCCTTTCAGAGAAACTGGAAAATATCGGAAGGCAATTTCCAATGCGAACAAGAGAAATTTCCCGGGTTAGAAAATTTTTCATTTCCATTACACTATGAAAAAATGTTGCATGTTGAATTAGAGAACTTAATTCAAATAAGATTAGAAGTGCTCTATTACGAGCAGATCCAACTGGTTTTACTGACTTTTAATGAGATACGAGTAACTCTGGAAATGGTTGATATGGTCATCAAATAACATGGAGAAGAACATTATGGAGTCTTCAATTCAACATTGGTTGATTATATTCTCGATAACCTTTTAGGTAATGAAAATTTGATAAGCAAAACGCGCGTCTTATTAATAATAATTATGTAGTCTGTTCGGGAAATGAGTGTGAGTAGTTTTAATGAAGTGAAATCATCCAGATAGTAGAACAGGCAAGTGAAATGAATGCCTTACTTCAATCATTCGTTAATTTACAGATAATCCTAAAACAAATAGACTACGTAGTTCATTTGATTCTTCAATAGAGTATTCAATAGTATATTTTTGTCAAAAATACATTTTTCATAATTGGAGTTTTTCCATTCGACTCAATTTGATATTTATGTTCAAATCCATAATTATTATACAAATGTTGTGAATAATAATGATTATATGATAATAATTCACTTAATGATAAATGTTGAAAAATAAATTAATGTACATGAAATATATAATAGATGTACGTGTGAAAACTACGAGAAAAATGACCTGATAATCAACTATTAGTATGTCATTATTCGAAATATAAGTAACTATAAAATGATATATAAAAAAACAACTATATGAGAAGAGATATTTAATATCTGTTCTGTTCTTAACGAACTCCCCAGAAAATTGTCAGTTATTTCATACTTAGGGGTTACCCTGTATTCACCTGAATGAAAAATTAGAAATTCGGTAAATTCAATCCCAAGTTCTTTCCACTTACCTTATAAGCGAGCTTCCTAATGAGGAGCTACAAATTACATAGCTTTGTTTGAGTATATCTGAGGAATAAGACATTTCTGCTCATCACCTATGGAANGTTTCACCTGGAGAACAGATACGACCCAATTCTTGGCTACAACTACACGTATTGGCCAGATTCTAAATATTTCAGGAACTATAGATTCTCACCACCCATCAGTTGGTATGACAACTGGTCCACCAGATCGCGAGTTTGGTTTCCTTATTATTGGTCCACTAGGAGGTTATTCCAACACTATTCAGAATACAGACCTTCTAGCAGAGCACTCAGAGAACAACGGGTAGGTAGATTTTCGATTCTGTAGTAAATTGTGATGTATTTTCTTCAGGACTGATTTTATATAGACTTCTTGAGGTGTTGGGTACTTATTCAACAATAATTTCAGTTTTTGATCCTGGACACATATTTGATGAGAAGATTTTGCAATTGATTTGATGTAGGACAAACCTTCCAATAGTGTATATGTGGATATGAGAACATACAAGTTGTTATCCAAACGTTTCAGAAAATCAAAATGTTAGCAATATATAGTATTGACCCCCTTCATTGGTTAAAGTAGAATTTTGATTGTTACAAATCAAAAATGATTTCACTTTGAAGTTGCAACTTGAATAACATGAATATTCGACATCATCTCTAGTAACATTGCTTTTTTTTGAAACTAGCCATTAACTGGACTAGAATTAGTTATCCTATATAAAAAATGGAGGAATAATAACAATAATAACAGGTCTTATGATTACACAGAAGCAAATAAATTTCACAACACATTGTTGGACAACTTTCACATACCATGAAAAATATTACAACAGAATCTATAGAAAAACTGATTTAAGTTCATCTAAGAACTTGTCTATGGAATGGAAATTAAAAATATTCTGTTTTACATGAAGACTGATATAATGTTGCTCAACTTTTCCACGACAACTCTCAAATGTCGGAACTTGTGCGAGCTAAAGACTATAGAGGTCTTACCTTTTAAGGTGTGATTTCTAACTCTAACTTATTGATGGTGAAATCAGTTGAGTAATTTCTTTCATGTATTTATGCTTTATCCTAAATGATAAAGTGTCTTTTGTAGCTAACCTTATCACCAAAGTCAAACACTCACATAACACCTCTTTGGGTGGTTCATGGTGAACCATAGATTCCGTTGACCCGGGGTACCTTCAGCACCAACACTTTTACTTCAATCTCCCCTGTATCCATTAATTTTATAATTTCACTACTGATTTTACCTAAATTTTTAACCACGAGCTTGCTTACGAACGAAATAACTTCCCTATTTAGACCACTTTCCTCAGCCTCGAAGGCTGAGGGGTGAGACCCCCGATCTCGTCTCGACGAAATCCGATGTGTCTCTCCCAAAAAACTTATAAGCCCTAGCGTCGGCCACGCTAGCCACAAAAACCTCATCTCAGTGTTTTAAAACCTTCCCAACATATGATCATCGGCAGGATATACTATATTCATTTGTTTAGTCTAGCTCAACTTGAACATGACCACAACGACGCTCGAAGTTGCGACAGTTATAAAGTAGTTTGGCGCTTTTCGACTGGAAAAATATCGATACCGAAGAAACGGGTGATCGTCCTCGATCTCTATGAATGAAATAATATTTTACGGTAACCATCGCAATGGCAGTTATTAAATCGGAGAGGAAAAGAAGAATTGGGTCCAAGTATAATATCAGAACCTGCTTCAGATATGGGAACACTACCCGTAGAAGCCTCACGAAAACCAGGCCACCAAACGCGGACTGCGATTCCAAGAATTGAATTTATCGGATACCCTGCGAGTGCGGAGAATCATACATCGATGAAACTAAAAGGTCATTGAAAGTTCGCATTGCCGATCACAAAAAACACACACAGCGAGGATAAACCAACAAATAAGGAATAGCAGAGCATATTTGCTCCAACATGGCAGTTATCCAAGCTAGCGTAGAGATACGTGACATATGGAAACCTCTAATCAAGCGCGGAACACGACCAACTTCCGCCAAACGGTCAGCTCCCGCTAAAATCGATGAAGCAAAGAGAGGGGATAGGTGGTGAAAGCACTCGAATGACCTATAAATATAAATAGTCAGATCTCGGAGGAATAAGTCCAGTTATCACCTGAAGATGATTGTGGATTCACGAAACATTGTCAACCACCTTCAAACAAGCATACTAAATGACTGAAGTCCTTTAGCCGACCTACTTGACGCAGCTAGATACATCACCAATACGTAGCGTATTCTTTTCGACTTCATTGATGCCCAGTATAACGTTTCCGTTCGAATTTGAACTGTCTTATTATGCTGAAGCTTCGATTATGATTTTAAAATAATAAGACATATTGTCTTATTATTGTCTCATTTTGTCTTATTTTCATGGGAATATGTGAATCAGTGAAGTGTGGCAGTTAATTTTTCATTTTGTGTTTCATTTTATCGGTGCCCCATTGACAAGTCTCTGGCCGTGAGCTATCTCAAAACCTACATATTTATGTACAGAAAATTTCACTTGACAGTCTTACAGAACATATCTTCGAAACCAAAATATTCAGAAGAATGGAAAATATACAGAATGTAGGACAAGTGGACGCTATAAAAGTTGTTATATTTCATCAATCAAAATAATAATGGGTGAATAACAAAAAAATAAATGATAGTTCAGAGAAAAAAATGAGAGTTGAAACTACCTATGTTCATCAAATTATTGAAAGTTTGAGAGTTATCAATTTATTAGTATTTTTTAGGTGCACGTTTCTCTTTGAAAAAACATAAAACCAATTTCTTGTGAATTGCGAATATTATCGATAGTAATAACCATTTTGCTGCCAATTTTACCATGCTATTTACTATTTGATTCAAACCGTTAAACAACTACAAATGCACCAACTCAGTATAAAATACTCTTAGTTTTACTTTTACTCAAGTTGTATAACTATAAATTTGCTCAATATGAACTTTAGCTAAACAACCCGCACTAGGAACCCAACAATATATAATGTCTTTGCAAATAGGAAGTGGACTCGAACAAAATAATATCTGAACTCTCTCTGGATTGATGGAATTGATGGAATTCGCTTGGAATACTTTCATATTGAATCGGGTATACCACAAGGTTCCATTCTAGGACCTCTGCTTTTCAATATCTACACTTCTTATCTCATCAGAAGCTTGAATCATTGTAACGTTCATCTGTACGCTGATGACACACAAATATATTACAGCTTTCCACCGCAAATGTTCGATGTGATAAGCAAAACGCGTGTCTGATTAATAATAATTACAATGTCTTTTCTGGAAATGAGTATGAGTAGTTTTAATGAAGTGAAATCATCCAGATAGTGGAACAGGCAAGTGAAATGAATGCCTTACTTCAATCATTCGTTAATTTACAGATAATCCTAAAACAAATAGACTACGTATATCGTTGTTTTCAATTAACGCTATACTTTATTATGATAGACATAGAAGGTTAACACTTCATAACTTTTTTTTGTTATAAATATTTCATTTACTTTCATAATTTTAGTAGTGATCAGTTGATTATCGGCTCTGAGACTGATTTTCATGCAAAAATCATGAAAAAATTTGATTGCAATATTGAAATATGTTGTGAATCAAAAACTTCTACCTTTATTTGTTTTTTCTAGGAAAACAATCTCATCCTTATTCTTTTTTAGTCTATGTCTATCATTTATTGGAAAGAAAATGGTATTTTACATTGAATATTTCCCAACATTCATACATTATTGATGGTGCTAGTTACAAAGATTTTGAATTACTTAATTTTTTTCACTACAACACAGAACCAATATTAAAAATATAGCTTCATTGACATGATATATAAAGAATGTAAACTTCTATTGTTTCACCAATCCAACTAAAAATCAAGTACCTATAGTATATATGAAAACAATCTGAACAGCTAATTGCAAGACTAATGTCATTACTCGTTATTACTGATAAAAATATATACAGACATACGAAAATTGACTTCGTTTATATTATAATATATACTTTAACCGCTTTTTTGATATTTTGTTTAAAGAAATCAAAATGAGTCTGATTGTCTATCTACTATTCCGGCTAATACTATGATGGACATTGAGTTATATCTGACAGATATTCATACAAGTTATCTCACAGAGAACAGTTTTGCAAATGATTCTGGTTCACCCACCAGGAGGATCACTATAAAATCAATCGATTAGATTACTTTGAAACGGTTTCGGAGTATAACCCTTCGTTAGTACTCAAACAGCAGTGTACTTGAGACTCAACTGATTTCAAAAAATGTCTGTCGGAGATAGTTCAAAATCCATCGCAGTATTAGCCCGGGAAGTAGTTTCAAAATAACCCGATCTTTCTGTGTAGGTGAGTTGGAAAAAGTGAATGTTTCAAAATTTCATTAAAAAGTGAATGTTTGGAAATTTTATCAACTGTATATTCTCGCTGAACCCAAAACATGTTTGAACTCTATAGTAATTGACAAGGTTACTGAAAATTTCCACATATTTTCTGGAAAATTATTTGTTAACGATATATTGTAGATGCGAGATGAATATTCAAATATATTTCATTGAAATTCAGACTTTTTTTTCAAATCTGCAAATTGTTGTCATCAATTCGAATTGAAACATTATTGATGATGAATTGTCCAACTTGTTAGGCTGACAAACCAACTGAAATCCATTAGAAGAAGCATTTTTATCGGAGCTGGTACCACAACATCTTAAGATTTTATTAATAAATTTCCATTTTTTTCATAGTTACAAAATTGAACATTTGTCTGAGAAACTCATTAGATCAAATGATATTTGATAAGATTATTGCCAGAATTATTCCCTACTGAATTCAATGATATAAGAGCAAATTAAACAAATTTTATCAATGACAGATGTCAATTTCATGACTGCTTAGTGTTCCGACTTTTCGAAAGAAGCGTTTTGTTGGCCAAGCCTTTAATTTTTTCATCATTTTATTGTTTTGAAGGAAACAATAAGAGTGAAAAATTGTGCTTTTTTGAAAAAGAGAGAAGCCGTCAGATCGCATAGAATCTTCAAATTATACGATATTTTTCAAATGAAATTCATCGCTCCAAAAGAATGAAGTAGAGTATTAGCAGTCTTTTTTCATTCTAGAATCATGCTTGGCCTGCAATACGAACCTCGATATGGTATCATCGATTACGAATATTGGCCTTACTCAAAATATGTCCCTGTCGACATTCCTAACTACAGAGTGGACAAACCTCTAGACTATTATGATTCTTGGCCTGCGTATTACCAGATTTACGCTCCGATTCCAGAATTTAGGAGATATCTGAACAATCTTCTACTGAGAGATATGAGGGTAAACAACTTGGAAAAATTCTCAGGAAATTTTATTTACTCTCGTTTCTCATTTTCAGCTCAGGCAAAACGACTACAAACATACATATTATTGAAAGACACATAATTCCATCAAATGGTTACAAATATGTAAAAAATGTATTTAAGAGGAATGGAAGTAAACATTTTTGAAATGATTTCATTACCCGATTTTTATTTATAAGCAGAACATTTTGAAAGTACTCGATTGTTTTTGAAAAGTTCTTTTTGGGGACAAAATACAAGCACTATAAGAACATTCTTGAGGCGCTCTAAGAGCTGTGCCTGTGCGAAAGTAGCGATTCACTTTGGATTTGAATCGCTATTCAGAATCACTTTGCTCAAAGTATTATTGAGATTCTAGTTGAGAATATAGTCAGGTGATGGTGTGTTCTTGTTATTTTTTTTTCACACTGATCCTTCCTGAGTTGAGTTATTGTGGATACTCATAAATGTCGTTCCAAAAAGAAATTCATCTTTTTGCTGACGGCTGGCAATTGATAGCGAAGTGAGGATTCTGGAACAAATGGAAAAATCGAAGAACATTTATACTTACACAGCACATTGTGAATTCTTGACTTTTATTTTTTGATATACTGATACTTATTGATTTTCACTCCTCAAAAAAACTTCGAAAATGATGAGGTGAACACCTCATATTTGATTCACTTTGAGAAATTTCTGTGGCTTCAAGGAAATTGAAAACAGAACTGGCGATATCCTGTTCTAGATTTGTAAATCTCCAAGCTTCTGGGGATTCACAAATGAACTCCAAATTTACATTTTATAATTATCTTTTCGGTCAAGTTTGTTTAATAATATTACATATTCATCCAAGGTTGTTCTGTCTTCAGGGGCTTGTTATTCCCTACTACGCTCCTTTCAGAGAAACTGGAAAATATCGGAAGGCAATTTCCAATGCGAACAAGAGAAATTTCCCGGGTTAGAAAATTTTTCATTTCCATTACACTATGAAAAAATGTTGCATGTTTAATTTGATAACTTAATTCAAATAAGATTAGAATTGCTCTATTATGAGCAGATTCAACTGGTTTTACTGATTTTCAATATGAGTTACGAGTAACTCTGGAAATGGTTGATATGGTTATCAAATAACATGGAGTCTTCAATTCAACATTGGTTGATTATATTCTAGATGACCTTTTAGGTAATGAAAAAAAGTCTCTCTTGAAATGTAGAGAGTACATTTGAAAAATATTGACAAATTTGATAAGCAAAACGCGTGTCTGATTAATAATAATTACAATGTCTTTTCTGGAAATGAGTATGAGTAGTTTTAATGAAGTGAAATCATCCAGATAGTTAAAATGTGCCAGATACAAGCTTCAACACAGTCGCGGCATTGTGAAACAAAAACGAAAACAGCCAGAGTAGGCGTGATGAAAAATCGATTGTCGAAATCTTGAGTCACGCTAGAACTTTTATATTACAGGAATGACTGTTAATTATTTATTTTCGTACAGAAATAGGTCCTCCCACCCCGTGTTAGTGAATCAACATACCTTGAGAGCTTCAAAAAGTATTTGCGAAAACTACAAAATCCGTGGAACGTAACAAAAGGCGTTCATTTGCGAAAACAGTGGGTTGGTTGGCCATTTTCCAAGAAATTGAAACTATATTTTCGTGTGTTTTTGTTTGAAGTCATAAAGTTCAAGAGTGCCGTGGGAAGCAGTGCAAGATCTAGTGGTTTAGTGAGCAGGACATACTCAGTAAGTTGACTTTATTCCTTTCGATACTCGAATCGTTATTTCCAAACTGTGTCCCAAATTTTCGAAAAAAAAAAAATTCTACTCATTAGGTGTTCATTGAAAATATCTTAGGATCAGACACACTAAAAACTCATTTCGAATTTGAATCAAACACTACTATTTCTCTTTTGTTCATCTTCTTGTGGTATAATGTTGAGAAATAACATGAAAAACAATCCAAATACTTTGAATTTACATGCAGAGTTCAAACAGTTTGATATAGTTGATCATTCAAATGTTTTCAACATGGTTGTTGGAATTCTTTAAGAAAGGTGTTGGACTTTTTTCGAAAAGCGTGAAATTATTGAAGGTTTTGAAATTTTCTATCAATATAGTTATTGAAAAATGACTCATGATGATGTGACGACCACCGTTAATTTTGAAAAGCTTCTTTGCATCAAGAAGCTTCAAAATACTATTCAACTGTAGTCATCAGTGTTCCTGAAAAGCCCTGATTTCAATATTTGCTTTCATTTCTGGAATGAAACTTCTTGATACTAGATCTATAAGTCCTTTGAATACGATTTATATCAAGAAAAAAACAAATCGTTATTCTGAGTGGAGAAACTAGATCTTCACGAATCAGTATCATCGTTTGCAATTAAAATTACGATGGAGAATATTCTATTTTGTGGCTTCCTAAATTTTACCATACTTCAAATTTGAGAAAGAAATAAGTTTTCAGTACTTGCTGTTCCCGTAGAGCTTAATGAATCCAACGTTTATTTTTCTATGTCTTTCTGAACATTGCGTCATTTTTCAGAAAATGTTTCACCTGGAGAACAGATACGACCCAATTCTTGGCTACAACTACACGTATTGGCCAGATTCTAAATATTTCAGGAACTATAGATTCTCACCACCCATCAGTTGGTATGACAACTGGTCCACCAGATCGCGAGTTTGGTTTCCTTATTATTGGTCCACTAGGAGGTTGTTCCAACACTATTCAGAATACAGACCATCTAGCAGAGCACTCAGAGAACAACGGGTAGGTAGATTTTCGATTCTGTAGTAAATTGTGATGTATTTTCTTCAGGACTGATTTTATATAGACTTCTTGAGGTGTTGGGTACTTATTCAACAATAATTTCAGTTTTTGATCCTGGACACATATTTGATGAGAAGATTTTGCAATTGATTTGATGTAGGACAAACCTTCCGATAGTGTATATGTGGATATGAGAACACACAAGTTGTTATCCAAACGTTTTGGAAAATCAAAATGTTGCCAATACTATAATGACCCCCTTTATTGGTGAAAGTCGAATTTTAATTGTTACAAATCAAAAATGATTTCACTTTGGAGTTGCAACTTGAATAACATGAATACTCGACATCATCTCTAGTAACATTGCTTTTTTTGAAACTAGTTTCATTAACTGGACCAGGATTAGTTACCCTATATATAAAATGGAGTAATAATAACAATAATAATATGTCTTATAATCTCACAGAAGCAATTAAATTTCACAGCACACTGTTGGACAACTTTCCCAAAATATTTTGTAGCCATACCATGAAAAATTATACACATAATCTGTAGAAAAACTAATTTAAGTTCATCTAAGAACTTGTCTATGGAATGGAAATTGGAAATATTCTGTTTTACTTGAAGACTGATATAATGTTGCTCAACTATTCCATATCTGAAGTTGTGGTTATCTCAGAAGTTGACACACTTGATCAAATTGATATGAATGATAATCATCTAGTTTTCGTTAACGACTTGTTGCCTCCATACTAACGACAACTCTCAACTGTCGGAACTTGTGTGAGCTAAGGACTATAGAGGTCTTACCTTTCAACGTGTGATTCCTAACCCTAACTTATTGATGATGAAATCAGTTGAGTAATTTTTTTCATGTATTGATGCTTTATCGTAAATGATAAAGTGTCTTTTGTAGCTAACCTTATCACCAAAGAGATTGCAAAAGCTATGCCTTCAACAGAATAGTAATGCCTGTAATTGGTATACAAAAATCAAGTTCTACAATGGCAGTAGTATATACCGATCTAAATTCATTTTCAAGCTTTTGAATAAACAACTATGATTTCCACACCTTGTGTTGTAATATTTCCCAAACATTGAAGCGTTTATTTGTTAAATGACTAGATTAGTATAACAATTATATGCATGCTTTTTTTGTTTAGATCACTTCTCATTCAAAATAAATAGTGACACTGTTTTGCACTCTGAGAAAAATTAAAAATATATTTGATAAGAGTTCTGGCAATATTTTCATCTACGTTAAACTTCAGGAATATTTAGTTTTCTAGAGGATTTTAAATACACAGCCGTAAATCAAACAACTCCTACCTTCATTTGCTCATAATAATACTTTATGGCCCTTCATATGTTACCTCCAAACAAGTCAGAGTATAAATAAGGATTACCTTGACTTTTATAGTTCCTTACTGCATTCCTCAACAAGCACGTAACATATCCCGAAGGTTTTAACCTCTGTTTTTCTCAAGATTTTATAACTGCAAAAGTATTTGATCATCGTTTTTGTTTTCAGTTGAGAAACAATCTGTACTTCTGATTGGACCGGAAATTATTTGGATTGAAGAATTGAGATGATGAAGATCTTTGAGTTTTGTGAGATATATTTTTTATTCTTTCTCTTGAAGATGATCACCAAGTTATCAAAAGGAAAATCAGTTTGATCTCCCTCTTGAAGAGGATCACTTGGCGATCGAAACACGTATCGAGTTGACAAAATAACGGTTTGGTGATGGGAAAAACTCCAGTAATATTCATCATCACACCAAAGGATCCAAACAGTGCATCACAAATGAAAATTCGTGTGCAAATTGATTCAAAAACTTCGAATACTCATAGATAGTTTCAAATGTATTGCATACAGAATATGAAATATTTGAAATTAGATATCAAAACTCAACTTTGAAAACACTTTTAGGATTATTTGATGCAAAATAGTACTTCTATTTCGTGAATATATCACTTCATGATGGTTGGAGTCATGAAACCAAGTTGCGATATTTTTCCTCAGAATTTCGAGATTATTTTCATCATTCCTGTTAGTATATCAGAATCCTAACCCTACTTATGTTCCACTACAGCATTTTGGTGACATTATCTCTCTCCTCAGGGTAGCTCATGAGAATAACTCTAAGAGAAAGGATAAAACATGATCCATACTGTGGTGAGTTTATCACAATTACTGATGATTTTGTAACATCATACACAAAACACCCGTCCAACTGAATCTCACAAAAAAAACACGCTTTTGATAGTTGTAACTACGTTTCACGATTGCGCCCGCCATCCTCAGAGTAAAAATAGTGGGGATTGATTTGTTCCATTCATAGTCAACTGAGGAATAGCGTTTGTAATCGAAACGTTGTTTATCCTAGACACAAATATAATTTTGATGATGATTTTCAGAAAACGATATACCTGGACTATCCCAGGCCAATAAAGGCAGTCGACTACTCTTACTACCCGTATTCTTACAGAACTTACCGCCCTCTAACTTTGTACTATGACTATTACTGGCCTCTGAGTAGTCTTAACCGGTACTACTGGCCCCACTATCCTTACTACAGGTACTTGTACTACAAGTACACACTGCCATCTGACAGATATTATCACCTGAAAGGGGTAAGTATATTAGTATGCTTTGCAAAGAAGAGATAAAGCTATCTGGCCGACAAAAGTTGATAGTATAAAGGAGGTGCAGCTAATTCAGAATAAGAACAAAACTATAGTCAATAATCATTTACAAAGAGTTCATTTCAGCACATTTCACTTTCAATATTTTTTATTCATTGGGGTCTCTTTATTCATTATCGAGAGTAAGGAATAATTCCATAGGTTGAAAATATGGTTGAAGGTGGCCCAAGAGAAACGAAACAAAACCGATTTCCTTCAGTTGGAACCTCAAAACATCCAACCGGTAAATTTCAAATGAGAGGAGGGATCAAGAGAGATATTTCATTGATTCATCTTTACATGACAACCAATTTTTATGAACTTGATGGCAGATATTGTGAAAAATATGAAGTAAGTCCACATTAGAAAAAATATTTCTCATTATTTCTCAACCATAATTCTTACTATGCCATTTTTGGGCAGAAAGAGTTATTCTTTCAAAGGACAGTCTTTAGGTTTTAACACTCAAAATTTGCCCTTTTAGTAACTTATCACTCCAATGTTTTATTCCAATACTGATGGACAACAAAGGTATAGCGAAAAGAAACGTATCTACATTGTAACGACTTGTCAGCGTGTCTGTCAATTCGGGATCTTATCGTCGCCATAGAAAAAAACACCAACATAACATTTCAGATATATTTAAGCCTGCACGTTATGCTTTTCAACATTTTTTATGGGGGGTCATGGACTGATTATAGGTTTTTGATAGACGGTTATAACAAACATTCAACTGAGAAAGGAGTGTTGAATAACAAATTAGGGTTGATCACTATCCGCTTACTTTATAACTCAAAATTTTTAACCTCTCTTGAAGTCATCTTTACTAATCAAGGGTCACGATAAAATTGGCAACTAAATCATTACCATGTATCCGATTAACATACTCATCTTGTTTATGACTAATAAATAGATTTGCTGTAATATCAGTGCACATACTGTTTTAATAGCGATACGCATTGCAAACAAACCATAATATGATTCTGATGAAGATACAATATGTTATTCAATGTACTACAGGGCGTGCTGAATTATATTCCCAAAAATCACTTTCATTTCTGTTGAAGCAAATGGTATATTGCAAGGGATTAGAAGGGCTGTCAGTAATGCAGTCGTGGTAAAAAATATATCTGTTTTACTTCTAACGAAAATCGAAGATGATATCATAAATTTTCATATGCTGAATTTTACTATAACAGACAAAAATATAATGGGTCTGGTTATCCTGAATTACCCTGAAATTACGCTGTTTTCATAATATCCAAGTAACAACAGGCTGGGTGGATATCCATTGATTAGAAATGGACGTTTTTGTTTTCCTTTAAAAAAAATATAAACAATAGAAGGATATCTGATTACACAGGATGGTGGAAACTTATGTGTATTGAAATATTAAGGAATACGATTTAGTAAATCAAAATGAGTCACTTTTTTGTTTGAGAATATGGATCATCTCACTAAACAGTCGTTTACCTAATAAAGGTTGAATATCTGAAAACTTGGGGTTTGCAAAAGCAAAACTGTGGTTGTTTTCTCTTGTGTGTTCGATGAGGACTGTTGGATTGGCAAAATTCAACTTCCTTGTATCTCTTTCATGTTCAGACAACCTGTTTTTCAAGTAACGTTCCGTTTGCCCTACCTAACATTCTGAACAATCCTTACAGTTAATTTTATAAACGACGTTTCATTGCATATTCATCGGAGTTTTTGTTTTTTGTTTCGGAAAAAATCTTTTACCTACAGTGTTAGCATTATTTGCAAACGCAGTTTTGATGTGTTCATTTTTTAGAACTGATCTAAGTTTTTCAGAAAGGTTATATATATAAGGATTTTTGAAATATTTTGAATTTTTAATTTTCTTCGAATCTACGTATCCATCTTTGAACAAAAAATATGTAAAGTATGAAGCCAAAAACGTTTTTTTTCCAAATTTGACGTTGAGACACAAGTATATTTAGTTATTTGTGACATACAGTTGTGATTTCATAAAATAATTGAGTGATTCATTTTGTAATGTCATCCAGAACGGTGCTGATGAGGTATTGAGACAAGTGTCTCATCCCGAAAATGTATGTGAAGTAGTGATTTTCATATGATCCTGCTCAAATGAAAGTAGTTTTTCAGGAATTATTTATTTTTTTGTTTAATTAAATGTTCATGTGAGGGTAGTTTCGACAGGATTTTTTGCCAGTAATTTGTATCCATTATCTTTGTGAAGAGGTCATTTTCAACTTGATTGTTTTCTTCCTTACTCTGTAATTTTTCCATGTTTTTTGTGTAAAATAGAGAAATGAAAGCCAAACACCACTCTTTTCCAACAGTTGATCTTCCCTATATTCATTTCCATCTTGTGAAATGGAGTCCTATCTGGTTTGGAAACATTTTTAAAGATTTGATAGAAATGTTGTATTTGTGGTTTTCAGCATAAACCAGCTTTACTCACGTTTCAATAATTTTTATCACACAAATGTGTAAATTGAAGAGTTGAATGGATTGTTAATTGAATTTTCATAAATGTTTGAACCATAATCATCAAAACATAGTATAAAACAAGATCTCTTTCCGCTGCCTATCCCTTCAAAACCATGTAATGAATTTTGATGCGAATGTTTTCAATAAATAGAACGATGTTGATATATATAAAACATGCATAATATAGCAGAGAAACACTGATAGTTTAAGGGGTTTCTAACGTGATGTCGTAAATAAACACTTTTTTAATGGGCAAAAGACATAAGTACAACTCAAAGGAAAAAATTACCACAAAATTCATTCAGATTATCCTAAAGGAGTACGGTATTTGGAGTTCCAAAAAATGGACAGACGACATACCATGACAATAAAATTAAAATGAAAACAGGACATTGCTTCACCAAAGAACATCTATATAAAATCAGTTGTATAGATGATCGATATTGCGAATGTGGTAAAATAGAAACATTGAATCATATATTTTTCGAATACCCAATCAACGCTGTTCTGGACTTTCATTTATATAAGCAAGTCATTGCAAGTCCAAGCATCATTAACCGTTTAAACAGTCCTAAGCAAAGTTGATATAAAAATATTGAAATTAATTATCAAACATATTGATTATAACAGTATTGAACTGTGAAATGCTCTCAACACACACATCCTTGAATCAATCATAACCATAACTTATTGTCTATCTACTAACACATTTCAGCACAGAAAATATTTACAAGAAAAAGAAGATCAGCACAAATAAACAGCAAGACATAAAGGAGTTCCTAATCTTTAGAAGAGAGATAAATCTCCAACCTTTTTTAGATATTAGAGACTATCGAGGTTGCGTCTTTAATCAGGCAGATGGCTCATTTCTGAATGGAATTCAGCAGCCTCAGGGTATGCTTAGGGGCAGAGCTCCTTACATGAGAATTATACTCTAGAGAAGGTCTAATCTGTGCTTCATAAAGCATTAAACGTTGCTAAGGAACAATGTTCCAAACTTTTGAGAAGCAGTCTTTACTATTCCAGCAACATGATTGTGCCAAGACGTATCGTTCTCCATTCTAACCCCAGACAAATTTATCGAAGCAGAAAGCGAAATTGTTTATCCTGACCTTATCATATCCGGTTCCAAAATATTTATTTCTTGGGTTTTTGGCCTGGGTTTTTGTGGCATTGAATTGAACCTGGTTACTTCCACCCCAATTCCAGATCTGCAGCCGATGTTCTGGAATCCAAATGGAATGACGAGACAAGTGTGCTGTTGACAGGGAAGCAATATATTGGATTTTTGGTTTTTACCGATAAGTCGCTGATATACAATAACTCGTCAATCTGTTATGTGTCCCTGTTTTCAGAAACACATGTGAATTCCGATGGCAAATACTTTGTAAAGTAAAGAAAACCAAAGCCAAATGTGTGCTCACCGCCTAATTTTACGTTGCTGCTGTAAACAGTGGTAACCCAGGATGGCTACCTGCGTATGACATAATTACAACATGAATAACCGAATGTGCAAAACCGTGAGATCCCTCTCAGGGCAATTGTTTGATGAAGGTAGAATTAGATAAACGAGAACTGCTCCGCATTGGAAGTTTGTGATAACAAGAGTCGCGATGCACAAAAGAAAATTTCATCAACTTGAAGATTCCATTATTGTAGAAAATGACAAGCGGGGTTGAGTTTGGGGAATTGGGTAGACAAGCGAAACGAACTGGGGTATGGATGAAGGACTTCATGAACAAATGGCGTGATACTGGGCGAAATTTCCAAAGTATCAATCCTATATTCTATGCCAAGAGAATCTAATGGTAGAGGAAAACGACTTTATAAATATTCCATTTGGATAAATGAAACCACATTCACAAACTGCATCGCATTCAAGAAGAATATTTGATGCTATGTAAATCCCAGAAATAGAGAGATTCAACTCAGGACTAGATATATTCGAATGAGGATACAGGGTGGAATGATTGTGGATGCATTATTTCCTTAACAAGTGGGTAGAAAGTCAGAGTAGGTCGAACTGCAGGCTTCACAGATCCAAATGCATTTGACTTTTTCATTTTTCAAGAATTTATATAAAATATTTAGCGGAAGTGATAAACTCGAATGAGGTTTTCGATCTAAAGATCTGCTTGAATAATTGCTTGTTATTAAACAAATTCACCAAAAATTGTGGAATGAATAATATCATTCCAGGCATTTGACGTCTCAATCATAGGTTGACTGGATACTTCTTCTTACTCATGGAAGAATGCGCTGATTATAATTAATCCATATTTATATACCGTCACCTTCTCAAACGCATTTACGCACATACGCACTTATGATATCTACCGCAGTAGCAGACGAAACGTTCGTTACTAAAAGTTTCATTCGACTTCGGCCTACCAACCCAAATTTTTTGTCTTTGAATTTTCGAAATATTCAATAATTTTATTGATGTTGGTTTGATATTATGAAATAAAATAGGTATTTCATATCATTATTGAATGATTGAATGTATTTTTGAAAGTGTGAACAAAATATGATGAAAATATAGGCCAGTTTTCAAAAATTTAAAATTCGAGTTACCAAAATTACACACCATAAAATACTACGTTTATTATAATTTGACATTGCTTTTGAACTTGTGATGAGTCTCATAACTCTAAAAATGGCTGACTAAGCTCAATTTTTTTTCATGAGTTTGATCTTATTAACAAATTGAAAAATCAATACACCTCTTTTAATTTTTTGCCTTCTGTGGAACATCTTCGGCCTGTCATCATATACCACAATTTGAGGTAATATTTCAGACCGAATAATGAGCTCTTCTGCAAACATTTCTAACTGTGGCAAATTTTCATTTTGTGTTCGTTTCTAGATATTGTTTGCTGAGTTTGTTTTATATTTCAGGGTTAGCTATTTATCGAATTGTGAAAAACAAATTGAAATGGTCTGTATGCTACGACATGGATTATCTAATATTTCAAGTCCGACTACATGTAGATTTTGAGTTCTCAGACAATATGAAGAGGTGTTTTTTTATCGAAACTAATCAATTTTGGCTATCAGCGGTACCTGTAAGTTGCTGTTTTCAAGTATTCTCAATCATACAACTCTTCCTTAATTTTAATTTTTGTCATATATGTTTTCCATATTCCTAAGCTCCCAACTGTTATGATTTTTCACGTTCCAACGAAGCAACAAAGTTTTGTCCCTTCATCTTATTTCTATAAAATCTGCTTCTGAATATCTTGGCAACTTCAAATATATCCAATTCCTGCTCACTTCTCAGAATCACTTCCTGAAATGTTTCCATTAGTTCATGACAACTTTCAAGTGAAACAGTTTTTTTCAACATCTTCATCGTGTCCTGATCAAAATAGAATATATATAACCGAATCCTCTAGAATCAATCGTTTCTGAATATTGGTTTCAGGTCAACTATGAAACCTGAGACCTGATATTGCTATATCAAAAGTATTTTTGAAGTATCAGAAATCCTTACACCTTTACTTTGGCACTCCCAGTAGGGACTCCCTATAATAGATTTTGTTGGACTCCTTCGTCTGTTCACTTTTATTTGATATTTGGAGTATCTATCATCTATAGCCAGCTTGATGGCCAAGTGGATGGTTGGGGTGAAGTCAAGGAATTGGAAAACAGCAGAAGAGCAACCTTCACGAAGAGAAACCCATGCGTTCGGGAAGGGGTGGTTTCCGGCCGAGGGTGTTCTTGGTCCTAGATTTGATTCTTGGTGTACTTCTCGAAATAGGTCCATGACTTGGTCTTCGAATTGGTCCTCGATTAGAGTCGTGGTCAACCACCCGTTTACTTTCGGATATAAGGAATTAGTGATTGTTTTACATGGAGTGAATTTCCTAGATATAGAGAAATTGTGATAACACACCATGTAAAACAATCACAAACTCCTCAGATCTGAAAGCGAATTGGTGGTGGACCAGTATACATATTGACAACAAATCCTAATTCGAAGATCAAATCGACAACCAATTCAAAGACCTAATCTAGAACTGAATCGACAACCAAATCAAGGACTATTTCGACGATCAAATCAAGGATCGATTTGAGGACCAACTCAAAGACCTATTTCGAAGACTATACCAAGGACAAACAAACCCTTATTCGAAGATCAAATCGAACACCAATCGACCACCAATTGAACGACCAAATCGGAAACCAATTCGAGAACTAAATCAACAACCAAATCGATAATCAATTCGAGGACCAACTCAACGACCAATTTCGAAGACCACACCAAAGACAAACTCGAGGACAACACCGAGGAACAAATCAATGAGTCACTTTCCTTCACCGTCTCTTCCCGAACGCATAGGTTTCTTTTCGCAAAGATTGCTGTTCGTGGGGCTTCACACCAACCATCCATCCAGCTATCAAGCTGACTATCGAGCTACATCGAGGCAGAATTGGCACAGACTATCTACTATTATATTGGAAGATGAGAACAGGCTGGATTGCACCGCTACCTTCTTTGTATTTATTCATGCTTGATACATATTGATTCCAAGTTAGTTTGGAATAGTATCAGTTCCAAATATTCAATTTCCAATCCCTTTGACTGTTTTGCGTGGCTCTTCAAATACTTTTTGATATTTGCAAAAAATATAGATTTTTAGATAGGTTACGTTAGGTTATTTGATGGGTAGAAAATAAATAATCGTCTAGGGTCCCTATAGTAATCTACAAAGCCGCTCGACTCTGTCCGCATTTTGAAGTAAGTGACCTTTTTACTGAAGATTTTTCTGCTGATGTGGACTAGACTGGATTCTTGTAGATACTTTCCTTTTGGTTACATGAGGAATCAGATTCTTGACCATTTCTTTTTTGGTAAATTGGTAGTGGTTGGATTCGTAATTTGCATACTATTAAAGGAAGGTTGGTTTTGTGTATATAGGTGTCGGTTCTCTTCACTATCGCGTCTAGAAAAAGCAGCTCATTGTGGGTTTCCTTCTTCATTGTTATTCTTATGTATTATGCTGTTGATGAGCTGTAAAAAAGTTTCCAGGTCCTTGTCTTCATAGTTCCAGATTATGAAAGTGTATAGACTTCTTTAGTAGCCAATTTCTTTTTCGTAAATTCCAAATCTTCCAACCTCCCAGTGGGAAATATTGTCAATCACATTCAACAAACAGAAGTGTTTTCTGTTCAACAGGTTTTCTGCAATTGGTCTGAAGCATGGCGATATATTACACATTCTGTTCCTATTCACTGCTGATCTGGTCATGAGCATATTTAAATGAGAATAGAGAGAGGTTGAGAGACTTCTCAAGGACTACTACACATACTGCTATCTTCCATATTCGACTCAAAGCAGATTGAGGTTTTGTATGCACTCCTAATGAAAGGTTCTTGAATGAAATGATCTTGCAAGTTCGACAGTGTTTTGTCACGAGCTCTCTGACTAAGTGTTGGAGAAATTGGATATTGGATCATATTAAAACTCGAGAAATTCAACCAAAATCTATTTGCCTCGAAATAGTGTTGAGAATCCCTGGAAATTCATACAGCGTAGTGAACCCTAACCCTTTCATTTCCAATTTGCCTTATCAAGATCATAATCCTGAATAGACTATTCAACTCTTGCATTTTCTAGAAAATTTAATGGATGGAACAACATGCAGACCATTTAAATTTGGAATTGGCAATGTAAAACTGTTTTCAGTCGAGTTGAAATTTATTTGCAGAAGATGCTCTTTCTCAGAGACCCAATTAGCGGACTTACGGAGTACAGAGTATACCCAACGCCGTCATATCTGCGACACAAAGTTTATAAACCTTTGAGTTTATATTGCGATTATTACTTCCCAATCAGGTCGTTATTCTGGAATTCCTCGTACTGGCCTTTATATAGATCTGTGGGTTCGTTTGCAGATGAATGTCCCAACGGAACAGGAGGAAGATTACAAAAAGTGAGTAGATTCATTTTGAAGGGAAACTAAAACGTGGAGGTAAGAAATAGTTTCGAATTTTTGTTTGATGTACTTATATAACCAAAAAAAGTCGATGAAAGACTTTTCCTGGTCGATGAAATAATACGTCGAACATGATCTCCACAGTTTTTTTTGTAATTTTACACAAAAGAATCAGACAGATAGTGAATTGAATTGAATGAGAAGTGAGAAGTGCTTTTTGGAGTGTCACTCGGAAAATTAAAAATTTGGCTGAACTTGAAGAAACTGCATCACTACCATACACTCCTCATGGATCATATTCACTGGCTTTATAATAATTTGAAAGGATTTTTATTATCATCAGCTTTGTGACATCTCCTTATGGTTAGATTAGGATAGGTCCAAAGTGAGTGGGTCTGTTCGATCCTCCACCGCAACCCGCAAAGGTTTATTGTGGTCTACACCTATTCACACTCCACCAAATAAACCCAGCTTCTTAACGAATCCGATTAGTTTGTATGGTGAGTGGTCTTAAAAGTCAGATGGTGAGAGTACGGCTCTGCCGAACTCTAAAAATCTGATTCAGTCCCCAGCGGGGCAGGCACAAAGTATATGCTCTGCTGTTTCATCATTAATGAGGTAGTCAGATAATCAAGGTGCAAGATTCCCACCTTGATAGCAGCGACAACCTTCCCATATGAGGGTTTTTACACGTCAGCTACACCTGACGATGCCTTGAGGTGCTTGTTCACTAAGAAAGCGAGCACGAGCGAACAAGAGTGAACGAGCATTCTGCATCAATAATCAATAATAATAATTGTTTTCTTTTATTTTTGAAGTGAAAATGATTTTTATTCTTCACATGGTTTACTGATATAGTTTTTTTGTCATCTACACAATAATCTCACCAGACGATTATTGATGCACCCCAATTCCAGATCTGCAGC